TCAGTATTAGGTCGAGGAGTTACAAACTATTAAGAAATTTTCTCACACTTGTTCACGGGAGCTGGGCAATTTGAATGATTTTCAAAATATTGAAGAGTTCAGAACTCTTAATCTCACATATGTTTGGTTTCGGATGAAAGAAACGATAATCAAATATATACCTATGAAGCCAGTTCAAATATGTATATAACACAAAAATTTCTTCAATACTGATACTTGAGCGAATAGAGTTTTAATACTCAATTCGTTCTCTGTGAGCGATTGGTCTTTTGAATTTTATTTCTATCAAATCAAATTTTGATTTTAATTATTTTTAGAATAACATAATTTTTTTATTATACACTGGTGAATCTCCTACGTAACAAAACGTAGAAGTCTGATATTTTACTTTCCATACATTATCATCCATCACCCATTCGACCTAAAGCTTGTTAATCTGACATTTATTTCAGATAACCTCCGTAGCCGCAAGTTCAACAAAAGTGGAATTTAAGTCTCCTACACAAGTTGTATATTTTTAAATTTGGTAATTAATTTGATCATCACCTCGATTCATTAGTAAAAAATCCGTGGCATGAGTTGCAGTTGCCGCCTTAAGCAAAATAATTTAGTTTATATAAATTTTTTATCTAACTGAACTAGTTGCAACGATCTGCTCTTTAACATGGTCTAATAACAACATGGTCTTTAACAAGGGCAAGTAGTAATTATTTATTTTCACCATGAATGCTATTGTCTAAATCTATTAAATTGTCTGAGAAGAATGCCTGCAATTAAAGGAATCTCAGGAATTGATTGGAGGTTGCAGGAATCCCACAGATCAGGTTTCAATCCTCCAGTCAAAGGACCAACTTCTGCAAGATTTCCTTCAGAATTTATCCTATGATCGCAACTTAAAATGCTTTAGTTATTTGGTTTCTGGTCTTCCCAAGATCGAATTCTAAACCTTCGCACACTATCTTCAAGACACGAGACGCAACTTGTTTAAAATTTCCTGGAGATGACATTCCCATCAATGAAGCTGCACAGGCTCACGCACCCGTTTGCCGGCAGGTTAGGTTATAATTTTTATTTAGCTGTAAACTTATGAAGAAAACCGAAATGTTCTGTTCGAAAAGTTAGTTATCAGTAAGGATCATATTTAAATTGATTTATTATTGCCACTTAGTTAACAACTGAATATTGAGTTTTCCGCGGGTGCATGTTTTGGGCATGGGTGTCATACATAAAAATACAAATAGTGTTTACGAGCACAAATGTTCGTAGTCCGCGATTTTAAACTGACACGTAAATTTCTGTATTCCAATAGATATTTTGAAACAATTTTATAGCAACGATTTATAATTTTCCGTTACAAATTGCTGCCAATGACGACTATATGATCAATTATAGCTATAGAAACCCTTCAGAACTTATTAGTTTCTTGAATATTAATCAAAATCCAGTATTTCGCTGAGTTTTTGTCACAATTATTCCGTGCATAATTGTTGCAATCAAGTCGCTAGTAATCCGCTTTCCTGTTGAAACATCCAACTGAAATTTATCCATACTTATCGGACTCTATTATTCAGTTAAAATATAATGCTATTATGATGAACGAATAATTCAGTTTAAATCTAAAAACAAGATGCAAACACATTACGGAGAACTTCAAACGATCTCGGCCTTCCGCTCGCGACAGGGCAATTCAATTTAACGGAGCCGCTCTCAGGCCGCATTTTCCGTGGTCGAGAGGCGGCGCCTGAGGCAGACCTGGCATTTACATGTTCTTTGATCAATTACACATTGAATGACCTGAAGTTTGAGGTCAAACCCACGACTGAACCAAAGTACACAGAATATTCGCTGGCCAAGAAAATTATAGGACGTTGACAGTGATGTTTGATGACGTAAAGTTAGGCTTCTCCATTTGTTGGAATTTTGTCCGATATTCGCTGGCCAAGAAAATTAAAGTATGTTGACAGTGTTTTCCCTGAGTGGTTTGATGATGGAAAGTTAGGCTTCTCTCTTTGTTGGAATTTTGTACGATTGCATGAAAATAAGTTTTTTATATAGACGCTTGACTTTCTCTTTATCTGCGTTTAAATGTAAGTCTCCCATATATTTGGACCAATTGAAAATTCATATTGAATATAATAAGAACAATAAAATTTTATAAATTTCGTTCCAGGGCAAAGTGATAATTTTTTACAATAGTTGCAGTTCATGTCAGTTGCATGACAGTTCATTATGCTGAACTCATGGGGAAGCAAATGATTAAGAAGACACGAATGATTAGGAAGTTAATTTCGTTTCAACTAATGTCATTACAATTCCCAACATAGTATGAAATATCTGCAACTTAATACCAGTACTGAGATAATATAACTTGAAACCCCTGTCATATAAACGAAGGAATGGAGTAAATAAATAAAACTATTGGGATATGTAATCGCTCAATGACATCATAATGAGGGTTTAGTAAGCTATTTAATGCAAGCGTTAAGTTTATAAAGTGTGAATTCGTCTAGGTCCCTTCTTTTCAAGGGACCATGACGACAATGACTTGATGGTTAATATAGATGATGGTATACAGTTTCCGGTCAAGAAACTTCATTTGGAAAATAGAGCAGCACTGATGAGACTAATATCACTTGGTCTCTCAACAACTACAAGCTCAATTACCCACCAAACTTAGACGACTTGTATGATGTTAGGCGGACCAAATCGTGCATCGACTAAGAATTTGAAAGTTAACTCATCCAAATGAAATTGTTAATCGATAGATTTTTATGTCACGCTGTCGAGTTTTCGTTACTGTACTCATGTTTTAATCTCTTTCGTTTAAAATTTGATTATCTCTGTCGATTACACTTGTATTCTCCTCATTCTTTTAACCGATGATGAAGCTTGTCTTTTTTAAAAATTCTCAACCAAGGTTTTGTTAATTTACTTATCATTTTCTTTGTTTTTTAGCGCATTTTCTCATTTATGGAAAAAATGCCCTATTGTGCTCGTCATGTCCGTCCGTCCGTCTGTCCGTGACTTCACGTTATTGTCGACGAGAAAATGCGCTCTCTGTCCCTCACTGCAGTGAGTACTGAGTTATATTTTTTTTAATTATTTGTTGTCGAGCAAAAATGTTACTGCCAGCCACCCCTGATTTCCAATAAGGATATTCCCTTCTGAAGAGAGCAGCTGAGCCTGTCATGGCTTCCATAATAGCATCTTTGGCTACTGCAATTGCCTTCCTAGCCTCTTAATGTCCAATGACTCGACAAACTGCCTTGCCTATGGAGTTCTTTTAAGGGCGCACACCCGGTCTAGTGTGCCTTATTATGGCATCGTTCAAAGAAATATATGGCGGGTAACTAGAAGTAATGAACAGAAAAGGCTGCTGGCAGCTGCAAAACGTCCATCTGCGAGGATCCTGTTACTTAGGCTGATTAGAGGTAATTATTTGACCTATAGTCGAATGCACCTCCATCATGTCAGTTTGGCCGGGATGAGAAAAATTGTATAATTTTGAAAATAAAATGGAATGCGGTTATATTGTTTATGATTATACAAATATAATGATTTTATAAATGCCACAAATCCATCTGTTGAATATTACTTTCATCATGTTCGTGGTCTCTAAATTAGTTTATATAATTAATTTTAATTATAAATGCGCATGCACCCAGCTTTTTAATTTCCTTCCAAATTAGCTTCATGAAAGACATCAAAGAAGAACGAACGCAATGTTCTTTGATAAATCCTATTGAATGCCAACAGAGTAAATTTCTAATTCCTTGTGAATTAATGGGGTCATATGAAAATTCGGATATTCTGAAAGCATATGCCTTCAGAAACATTGTTCTGAAATTTCACCGAGAATGAGTAATACCTGAATGCGTCAAAGAATGCAAAAAATATAAACTGGAATAATTAGCATCAGTTAATGAATGCGCGTTAATTGGAATCCTCTAACTTTCAATTATGGAATAAACATATACTTCAATTAATCATAGTATGATATTGGCATTTTTCCAACAAGGCAAAATGACTTTTTGGCTGGAATTTTGTGGTTAAACTATTACTGGTAATTCGAGAATATTCATGTTCCACAATCAGAAAATATCATTATTTATTCGTTGCATATTTGCGCTTATTTACGGTCACGTCCTTAACTCAATTTTTCCCAGGGCTCCGATGATCACGTGTGTCAAGCAGCTGACACACGGCCAACCGTCGGCCGGCGATAAAACGTCCAATACGATTTGTAGCTGACACACGGCCAACCGTCGGCCAGCGATAAAACGTCCAATATGATTTGTAATTAGTCGACGTTGACACGATCAGCGCTCAGCGGAGGAGGGCTAATTGCTTTAAGCCTCATTTTCGCCACTGATGAGCCCCATAAAAAATAATGATCGGAATTAATTAGGCCGGGGCAAACACTGCAATCAAAAACAAAGCAAATAGGTGAGCTAAAACGTTCTAGTTTTCTGTTCTCATATACGTATTAGTGACTGGAATTTATTTATGCTGAGTTGGAATACTATTAATAAAAGATTTTTTGCCAAAAGTACTAACAACAGAATTAACAACGACTATTATTTATAATGACGAAAATTGCATTTTATATTGTGAATTTTATTGTTCACTTATTATAATGAGGATATAGAATAACGTATTCGTTGCAGTTCATTTCCTCTAGTATAGAATATGTCTGCTCAATTGATACCAAATACAAATTTATTTATTAGATTAACCATAAACTGTGTTTCTCAAATATCTCGAGAAATACAAATTTATTCAGAAATTAAAATCCATACATGAACGCCTGCGTCACTGTAAATAGCTCTGAAATAACCTGCGTGATAATATATATCATCGTCAAAACATTCTACCAAAAACCGGAACATACTTAAATCGGAAAAAAATAATTTCTAAGAGATGATTCAGCATCGGTGACCACACGTGGTCAGGTTTAAGTCCGGTTCAAGTCTAAATGGTGGGATATAATACTAGGGAAATCCCTAACAAATATTTATTTAAATGACTGGCACACAGATAGTTCATGAACCTAAAGATGTAGGTTCTTGTTCCCTCCAGGTCCACCTTCGTCCACCGGTATACGGGTCCGAGGCTGTGGAAGAAACAGTTATGGTTTATAGTTATGAGTTCTAGTTATCGTAATAGTAATAGTAATAGTTCTGGTTATAGTAATAGTTCTGGTTATAGTAATAGTTCTGGTTATAGTAATAGTTCTTATAGTAATAGTTCTAGTTATCGTAATAGTAATAGTTCAAGTTATCGTAATAGTAATAGGGTTTCTGCGGATGTAAGGTTCTCTTTTAGGATTGCAAGAAGGCAGCACGCACGGACGGATCATGAGCCCGGATATTGGATAATTCACACGGCTCACCTCCACGGCACGACCGAGGGCGTACGCAGTCTCAGGGTAGGTCCCACACTAGTAGCAGAGCGCCAGATGTCCGATGGTAGGACGACCGAGGCAGTAGAGCCGAAGGTCGGACAGCACGACGACCGACGTCGGATATGCGGATGACGGACGTCGGAGGGAGGACGACAAAAGTCGGTCGAAGTGTATCGCCGTCAAGCCCGTGGCTTCAATAACTAAACGGGAGCTTGAATGTTGATTGCCACGTATGCATATGGCGTTGGAGGCGCAGTAAAATCAGGCGCTGCGTCCGGCTGCTGTGATGGCTGAGCAGGGACGACACGAACCAAGTCCTCAGGCTCAAGGCGCGCAAAGTGATTGATTTGCACATCCTTATAGAGAGGATTGTGTGTGATCAACCAACAAAGCGCTGCATAGAGATACTGGCGACGAATGGGAAAGTCACGCGAGATGTTCAAATTCTCAAGCGTTTCTGTGACAATCACCATGCCTGAATCATCGCTTGAGCGAGGCAGCATATTTGGTAGCTTTTCGCTAACCTCAAATATGTCGAGCGCAAAAAGAATAGCCTGACCCTTGAATCCATATTGACCAAATCGACCACCAAATTTTATCACTTTCAAATACGGATTGATGCGGCGCAAGAGTCGGTATTCGGACTCGTGCAAGTCCTTAATGCAATCTGGAATCTCGCCAGGATCAAGATTGTTCCAGTATGCCTTTGGGGGAGCCATTCGATTGCGCGCATTCTTCAGATGCGACTCGCAACGATAGCAAACTTCCAGTGTTAGGGATAGCTTTTCAATGTAATAATTTCATAGATAGTTAGACTATGGGTTTTGTCATTTTGCTTTTTAAGTCAACTATTACGTCACCTCGTCTAGATCCGTCATGTAACTTGTCATTGCTAAGTGATCCACTACAGAGGTTGGTACCTGAATTGTTTATCGTGTTTGTATGAGGACCGAATTTGCTTCGCATGCGCAGCAACCCATCCTCACATTTGTACAAATTGAATTGTGCAACCAACTGAGGCATCTTACGGACACCTTTATTCTTTGATTCAAGGTAAGCTAACTCTTCAGGAAATCGCAATTTCTGTTCAACAGCAATAATGGAATTGAATGCAGCAGCGTAGTAATTTAAATTAGCTTGCTGAATCAGACCTCTACGTAGTTTTAGTTTATCAATAAATTGCAGAACAAGTTTGTAGACATCAATAAGTTTCCCAAGGTTTGAAAATTTATCCAGAGGAATCAAGTGGGAAGGTTTATCTGGCGGACATTGAACAGAATTAGCAGCGACATGAAATGTTGTCTCGTTCGAGGTCACTTCATCCACTGGTCTGCACAAAGGATTAGGTAACAAAATGGTCAAGTCCGAAATTGCAAAATTGCCCTCCGACAAGAAAGAAGGACCCTGGTAATAGTTAGTTTTCATTAGTACTCTATGACTGCGTGGGCGAGTCAAATTGTCGGCGGGGTTGAGCTCGCCTGAAATGTGAGAAAAAGTAATTGGACAGTTACGGCAAAATTCTTCAATTGAACGTAATGTATTTCTTACAAAAATGGAAAGGCTCTGAACTTTAGCAAATTTGACAGCAAACGAATGGATCCAATGGAGGCTGACCATGCTGTTAAAAAAAAGGTAAAGATTTTCAATGTTGATTGGGTCTGCGACCGTCTCCCCGGCCAGAGCTCTGCGAGTGTCAACGAGCGTTTCCACTCCCAAACGTATGGCATCGAGCTCCAGTGAAGGGATCGTTTTCCTGCAATTAGTCGATACGAGGCGGTTTTTTGCCAAAAGAAAACTTACTTTGTTAGAAGTCATGTCCTTTATGTAGATCACCACTCCGGTAGCATCTCGCGAAGCATCAGTGAATGCAATAAGGCTGAATTTCCCAGCTCTTGGTCCAACGGAACGCGCCATGCTGACTCTGGGACAGTTGTTTACCTGCTTCGCAATTCTTTGCCATTCACAAAGCAAAATTTCAGGTAAGGGAGAGTCCCAAGTTAATGATTTATCACACAGTAATTTTTGCAAGAAAATTTTAGCTCGTAACAAGACAGGTGCGTACAAATTGAATATGTCGTAGATAGCGTTAATAGTGCTCAAAATTGTCCTTTTAGTTGAGGCTGTGAGATCCAGGTTGATCTGGTTTGGTATCAACTCGTCGCTGACTTTATTCCAGGACATTCCGAAAAATTTGGTTTCGTTGGGAGCAGATTCCTCGGCTGGGGAAACTAGCTCCGGCTGCAGGACTTCAGAATTTGTGCTGAACTGCTGCAACTCAAATTTATAAGGTGAGAAAATAGTTTCTAAGGATTTGTACGCGTAGATCATTTCTTCATGAGAATTGCAGGAGTAGCTGGCATTATCCATATAAATAGTATTGTAGAGAGATTTCTTCAATCGGTCTAGCTTTTCATCCCCAGTTCTGTCAAGGACAAGGATTTTGTACAGAGCAAGCACGAGCAAAGCAGGGCTACACCGCAGCCCGAAACTGAGTCTGAGATTGCGATAACCGACCACTGTGAAGTCTCGCCTCTCCACGTCTCTGAACCAAAGAAACAGGAGCCTATTTTGATCACGTTCTGGTAATTTAATGGTAAGAAATGCCTTCTTTAAGTCGAACACCATCAGCAGGGAATCAAACCTGAGAAGCATAAGGGCGTTAGTAATTTTGTGATTAAGACATGGACCTGGTAGCATTGCCTGGTTATGACTTATTCCGTTATTTTTCTTCTCACACAGGTTAGATAAGAAAACGACACGGCACTTGGTGGACTCGTGGTTCATCCTGTACACTGCGGAATGCGGCAAGAAACTGCACTCCGGATGCAGCTCCATGAACTGTGGAAGATCTTCCACCTTCTCGATGATCCCAAGACTCCTCTGCTCATTGATGACATCATTGTAAAGGCGTAATTTATTTGGATCATTCTTTAGTTTAGTTTTAGTAGATTGTAATATGCTGAGAGATAAATGGTAATTTTTGGCAAGTAAATGCGAGTTTTGGTTATTCCACGTTAGAGGTATTATTAACCTTCCATCATGATCTCTCTCAACGTTATTCAAAACATGGTTTATCAAGGCCTGATCAGATTCAGAGTAACAATGCTCATGATCTGAAGTATCGTCATCAAATAATAAATCGTCATCTCTCACCGCATTCGAACAAACGCAAGCATGTGCAGTTATGTCCGAAGCCAGACCAGACCCGTCCTCAGCTTCCACGAGCGCTGAAGGCGCGTAATGTACCACAGGTACATCGAAGGTCGAAGACCTGATCGCACCAGTGGCATCCAGAGGACAAGGAGGTAATTGTGAAATATTACTGATCAAAGCATCTATACTGCCTGAAAAAATGACACCAATCGGGGAGGAAATAAAAGACGCCTTTGGCGACTTATCCCCAAATGTAACGTAGGTCATTGGCAACATGTAATCAGCATCTGCACCGAGAATCAGGTCAAGATTAGTAACTTCAGTGGCGTCTGAATTCGCAAACTGACGATCAGCAAGATGATATCCGGCAGCGTGAAATGAATTGACAACTGATGAAATACCGGCTACCGAAAATTGCGTGCTTATTCCGTCTAAGCAAATGGCATCAATGCTGAATACCTTCTCATTAAGCATCAAAAAAATTTGGACAATTTTGGTACGAATGGTTCGGCTAGTGTTAAAGCCATGGATTCTTAAAGGTACATTATATGATATTACTGGCAAGTTAAGATTATCTGCCAAAGAAGTTTTAATAAATGAGCGCTGACAGCCTCCATCCTTAAAGACACGAATTTGTTTCTTACCATAGTCGGTACGGAGATGTGCAGTGAAAGTAGGTAAGGCTATAGCATCGTCACCTGAAGCGAGCGATGCCTCCACCTGTCAAATTCCAGTCAGAGTTTCCATCACCGGTCGCTTGGGCGCCTGTGGAGTACTTGGAGGAACGTTAGAAGAGTTTTTAATGCATAGGTATGACATGTGGTTAGCTTTGCAATGACGGCAAGGTGACTTGAACTTAAATTTACAATTGTTGGTAGTGTGATTTGCAAAACTACACTTAGCACAAGCGTGCATAAGCTTCAACTTATCGATTTTATTTTTAGGAGAATCGTAAGTCGGGCAAGTAGGTAATGAATGGTCAGCGCGCTTCCTGTCATGAGAACACAGGTTACACGTCTTGTGGACGCGGACATCAGCAGCCATAGCGGTCGCATCGACTAGTGCTTCTTTAGGTCTGTGCGCTTTCACAGCATCCCGGCCCATTTTCACCCGCTTCTGCTCAATCTGTCCAACGTAACGTTCAGACGCTTCGAAAATGTTGTCATTGATTTCCTGGATGGAAGGTTTACATTTATTAGTTATGCCAACTAAATGAGATTTGAAATCATTGTTTAGGCCATTCGAAACAAAATATTGGAGAATGTCATCAGTCGTAATGGATAAAGAATTAACGCCTGCCAGAACAGTGCGCATAGTACCAAGGAACGCATAAGGTTCCTCGTTTTCTTTTAAATTCAAATTGGTTAGTTGGCGGATTATGTCATGTTTAGAATTAAGATCAGAATGAAAAGCCTTNCGTGTTCAGGAGTTAAACTTCACTTTAGCTGGTCGTAACTCGTACCATTCGCCGGCTCAACGCCTCGGAGCGGGACAGCATAGCATTTTCAAAGTTCGAGAAAGATAGTTTCAGAACAATGAACGTAGCAGCCGGGACGTAGCAGCTACTGTCACGGGAGCTCAGCACAAGGAACCTCTTGCCTCAACGGTTAGAACAGCCACGTCCCCAGGAAGCTTCGTCAGAACTCGCAAATTTAAATTAGTTAGTTGGCGGATGATGTCATGCTTGGAATTCAAATTGGAATGAAAAGCCTTCAAAAGCAAGTCTTTGGCAGTCTCGTAAGATTATCATTAAAGTACGTCATTATTATTAACGTACGTCAGTATCATTACAGTACGTCGCTATTAACGTACGTCATTATCATTTGCATACGTCATTAACATTAAAGTACGTCATTATTAACGTACGTCATTATCATTATCGTACGTCATCATAATTAACGTACGTCATTATCATCAAAGTACGTCACTATCATTAGCATACGTCATTATCATTACGTACCTACTTATCATTAATGTTCGTCATTATCATTAACGTTCGTCATTATCAATAATGTAGGTCATTATCATT